AAAAAAGCAATCAAACTGCATTGTGATGTTAGTACATCTACATCAATATATTAGTTTCTCTTATTTGCTTTTCAGTATTGGCAGAGGAATTCAGTTAGAGCATCTTCTGTTTTAATGAGAGTATCAGTATTGTTTTATTCATTCTTCCCTCCTCGAATTCTGCCTACACCTGATGTGAACCGGTCCTTTCACAATGGTGTTCTAGCTGTGAGCAACGATATGTTGCCAATTCCTGGTACTAAACCCAAGCAGTCCCAAGCATGCTCAACCCCAAAAAATCCACAACCAAATGCTCCTTCCCTGTGAAAAATCTCTGATAAAACCACCAAACACCAACTGTACATTCATCAATTTTAATAATGATTTCAGTTGCCATAGGGCACAGGCAGGGTACACTGTGAACAGGTCACCAGTCAATCACAGGTGGGCTCACACATAGAGACAGACGTCATTCTCTCATCATTGCACCTGCTGCCAATTTAGAATAATCAATAAACCAATTAACCTGGCATTTAACATCAGCCTGTTGGAGAAAGCCGGAGTGCTGGCAAACAGAGAATATACACATTCCACATACATGTAGTCTCAGCCATCCAGTGGATTCAAACCCAGGTCCTCCACCCTAAACTAATTGCTTAGCACCAAATGGCAGTGTGTGAATAATTTCAGCATGCCAGACACTAAAAAGGAAGGGGAAACCAAATTATTCAGCTGGCTCCAAATGTTTGTTTGTGCATGCTGTTATCTTGCTAACGTATTTAAATATTAATAATAGTTTAAACTTGGTTATAATGTGCTGCTGTAGTGGTTACAGATTGTTTTGACTGCTCTCGGGAGAGTAAAACCAAAAATAAAAAACCCACTGTCTGACCTGGACATGCAGCATGTCATGGTGTAACCAACCCACCCACTGACCTCTTTGACGCTCTCCATCTTTACAAGCTGGCATTTGCAGTAAAATGCAATGGTACAGTTTCACTGTGCTTGAGTTACCCCTCTAGCCTTTGTTGTCATGAAGCAGCACTTTCTAATAAACAGGTTACTTTACTTGGCAGTGGAGATTAGTGCTGTTGACAGAAATGGAGCTGGCTGAGCCATATGTTCCCATTGTTACTTAACCAGTTGCATCTGCTCATTCGATAACACTCTTACGAAATACACTCTTGACAGACTGTTGCTAATATAGCAGTGATGTAAGACGAATACAATTTACATATTTTTCAAATAATTGTTTTTTTAATCAAAAATGTTTATCTTTTAAAGCTGTTACTGGGTTTTAGTTGCACACAGACATTATAGAAACCAATCCAAATAACCTGAGATCTGCTTTAGATGACTAAGCCACAAATACAGCTTAAAAAATTACATAATTGAGTCACAATTTAGATGCACAAGGAGTTTAGAATCATTTCATATTTTGGTGATATTTCACAGGGCTGTCCTCTGTTTTGTTTCACAGTGAACAGAAGTAATACTTTACAGTTAAAGAAACACTTTATTGTGTGTTTGTGCAGCCACACGAGCTAACTCGAAACCTTAACACCCAACAGTAACTGCAGTGTTTGGTATCTAGAGCTGATTTTAATTTCTGAAGCTTTTGCGTACCGATTTTAAAATCGCACAAAACAAGGATAAAATGCATGGATTTTTAAAAAGCATGGAATTAGTGTGAAAACAATCAGTAAGAATGTAAACAAGCATAAACATACTCCGTGTCGGAATGTCTCCGTCTCTAATCTCTGATGCATATCAGAGTTATGAAGCGTCTGTGAGTGCAGGAGTTCCTAAGAAAACTGAAGGGTGTCCTCGCCTGAGGCAGTGAGCCCAGAGACGTACAGCTACGGGTCAACCTAAGTGCAGCCTACGGCCTCATCTCAAGACTTTCACAACCTCTCACCTTGGAAGCACTTTCTCTGTTATTCTTCCAAGGCCTCCCACAGACTTGTTCACAGACCCTTTTAAAAGGCCACGTCCGCCCCAAAAATATGACAAAGCAAAAACACGAGACTTGCTATAAATAGGAGATAAAAAGCAGCCAAGTAATGAGAGTCATTTTGCAGAGTTGAACCTCTCTGGGGAGGGTTTAGGACTGGGTGGGCATCCTAAATCTCCTCACAAGTGAGATTTATAACTCCCACCTGTATTGCAACAACTCCATTTGTTTTTCTACTAGATTCAATTACTGGAATCAAAAACAAGGACAGAAGTGACTTCAGAGGAGTCTTAGCAGACCGATGTGATAAAGGAGATGAAAGGTAAAAGGACCAGTGTTTAACCCAACGCAGAAAACTAATAATGATGAAGGGAGGGGGTGTCAGTGAGCAGTGGAAGAAAACAACTCACCCAGATTAGGTCTGGATCCTTAAGTGCTGAACTATGGTTGTTTATTGAGGAGCAGCTGCTGAATTGAAAGCAGGCAAGCAGTGAGAATACGATTACACGCAAATTAAGAAATTATATTTTAAAAGTTTTCTAGGATTTCCTGGATAGTCTCAGCTTTAGAAAGTTGATTATATTGTAAGTAAGTATGTAAAATGTATTTATATAGCACTTTTCACAGATAAAATCAAAGAGTACTTTATAATGAAACCAGAAATTAAAAAAAAAAAATTAAAAGTAAAATATTGCTGAGATTACTTTTATAGCTTTTAAATCAAAGCAGACTTTTTGAAGGATTATGTGTCTTTATTTCTGTAGCCCAAGTTTTATTTTAGTCCAAAACTTATGCATATTGGCATCCAGAAAGTATGTTAGTAATATAATATAGTCCCTGGTTCAATCCTGGGTTTCGGCAATAGGGCGGATGATTTTTGGGGCAGGGATATCTCAGTAGGTAGAGTGGTGGCCCCATGATCGGAAGGTCAGGGGTTCAAAACCCCTGAACAAGCTACCATCCCTACACGCTGCTCCCTGGCCGCTTGATTGGTGGCTGCCCACTGCTTCACTGAGTGAATGGATTAAATGCAGAGAGGAATTTCCCCACGAGATCAATAAAGTACATGTTTTTAAAAAAAGAAACATAAGTGCTGGTTGGAGACGACAGACAGTTCATATGGATTCACATGAAACTGAACTGAAACCACCTCACAAAGTTTCTGTATTTGTTTTGCTGATAAAGAGAGAGAAAGACACAAGTATGCCGATCACAGAGGATACATTTGATATTTTACTAAGCAGTGCATTGGCAAGCATGAAAGTGCACAACAGGAACATGTTAGGTATCATGTGTTATGGATAAAAAGAAAGAAATATGTTGACTATGCACATTTCTGAATACATTTTGTAGGAATTTCCTGACCATTATGGAGCCAGAACATTCAGATCACCTGCTCAGTTCATCATATGCACTAAGCCCTACATGTCCTCACAACATAGACAACATAAGCACAGTTATTGTGTTTGATTCACTCTGTAATTGTGGTATAAGATTATATGCATCCAACTGTCAAT